GGCACCTATGGCTTAGTGAGTAGGGCACCAGCCCCATATACCATGGGTGGTGAGTTTGAACCCAGCCCTGGCCAAACTGCAAAAAAAAAAATAGCCTGGTGTTGTGGCGGGCGCCTGTAGTCCCAGCTGAGGCAAGAGAATTGCCTAAGCCCAAGAGCTAGAGGTTGCTGCAAGCTATAACGCCTAAGCACTCTACTGAGGGTGACAAAATAAAATAAAACATAATCTATAATGAAATGGTATAATACACACTACCATCCTTTAGAGCAGTGGTTTTCAACCTGTGGGTCGCAACCCCTTTTAACTGTATTAAAGGGTTGCAGCATTAGGAAGGTTGACAACCATTGCCTTAGAGGAAAAAACAAAAAAACACCTAAATGACTTGAAAAAGCCCACAGATACCATCTACTAACAACTTTGTTTGCTCATCAAAATCACTGTCCTTGGCTGGGCGTGGTGGCTCTCCCCTGTAATCTCAGCACTTTTGGAGGCCAAGATGGGCAGATTGTTTGAGCTCAGGAGTTTGAGACCAGCCTGAGAAAGAGCAGAACCTCATCTCTAAAAATAGCTGGGGGTTGTGGCAGGTGCCTGTAGGCCCAGCTAACTTGGGAGGCTGAGATTAGAGAATTGCTTAAGCCCAGGAGTTTGAGGTTGCTGTGAGCTATGAAGCCATGGTACTTTACCGAGGGCAACATAGTGAGACTGTCTCAAAAGAAAAAAAAAAATCATGGTCCTTAAACCTAAATATTCTTCAACCCCAACCTCCTACTTCCAGGAACATACCAAGGTCCCAAGTAATGTGCTTACTCTCCTTTGGCAGAAATACAAAGTTGAAGTTTTGCTCTACTTCTCACGTCTATTCCCTACAGTTGTGGTCTCTAAGCCCCAAGCCATAGACTGGTTCATGGCCTGTTAGGAACCAACCTGCACAGAATCACTGCCTCCTATACTACTCCCCTCCCCCATCCCCCACCCTGTGGAAAATTGTCTTCCATGAAACCAATCCCTGGTGTCAATCTATCCTGGAGAACGTATTATACTCTCTCCCAAGACTCATTATGGAAAGATCAAGTACTGGGCAGCACCTGTGGCTGAAAGGAGTAGGGCGCTGGCCCATATACTGGAGGTGGTTCTAAACCCAGCCCCAGGCAAAAACTGCAAAAAAAGAAAAGAAAAGAAAAGAAATACCAAGTATTATCTCTAATAATACACAAATCTTTCTATCTAATCTACATTTAACACTTATACTTTAATATGCTTAAAACACTGTAATATCTGAAAAGTCCATCAAAGTCTTACAATTCTTATACTTCTCCACTTGAAACAAAATTTTAATATATATATATATTTTTTTCTTTTTTTTTTTTTTTGAGACAAGAGTCTCAAGCTATCACCCTGGGTAGAGTGCCATAGCGTTACGGCTTACAACAACCTCAAACTCTTGGGCTTAAGTGATTTTCTTGCCTCAGCCTCCCAAATAGCTGGGACTACAGGTGCCCGCCACAACGCCTGGCTATTTTTTGGGTTGTAGTTGTCATTGTTGTCTGGCATGGCCAGGCTGGATTGGAACCCGCCAGCTCTGGTGTATGTGGCTGGCCCCCTAACCGCTGAACTATAGGTGCCAAGCAAATTTTAATGTATTACTCTTTAGCCAGGTTAAAAACCTTGAGAATTCTAATTCTTCTCTGTCCTGTTTGTGGCTTTCCCCATTTCCTGTCAATTTTTCACCAAAATTTGCCCTCTGACCCCATCCTCTTTTCTCAATTTCTTATTACAACCTAGCAGAGTTTGTATGTTACATGTAGTCTGCTAAATTGTCCTAAAATAAATTCTTCCCTCATCCTATCATTCAGTATGTCCTACCTAGTATATCTCCTCAATATCTACCCTGCATACCAGATCCTCTCCACCTCTGTGAACAATTAATTCCTTGATATTGTCTGGTCAATTCTATCTAAAATTAAACCCATAAATGATTTTCCTGGTTACCATTTCACCTTCTAATGATCATAACAATCAAATACAGATCACAATTTCTAAATCTCTGCTTTGATCATGTAACTTACCTTTCTTTTCATATTCCCTAAACCTTTTTTTTTTTTTTTGAGACAGAGTCTCCCTATGTCCCCCTTAGTAGAATGCTGTGGCATCACAGCTCACAGCAACCTCAAACCTCCAACTCTTGGGCTTATGCAATTCTCTTGCCTCAGCCTCCTGAGTAGCTGGGACTATAGGCGTCCGCCACAATGCTTGGTTATTTTTTGGTTGCAGTTGTCAGGACCGGACCAGGCTCACTCCCTAACTCTTAAACTACACTAAATATATTTGGAGGTGCTAACTCAACACGTTCTTCTCAACACATCCTTTCACTGTGCATTTTTTTTCTTTTATTGGTTTGTTTGTTTTTTGGAGACAGGATCTTGCTTTGTCACCTCGGCTGGAGTACAATAGTGTCACAGCCTCAAAATCCTAGACTCTAGCAACCCTCTGTCTTGGCCTCTCAAGTAGCTAGGAATATAGGTGCACACCACCATGGCTGGGTAATTTTTCTTTTCCTTTTTGTAGAAATGGGGCCTTGCTGCTGCTCAGAATGGTCTTCTATTCCTGGCCTCAGGCAATCTTTCCACCTCAGCCTACCAAAGTGCTGGGATTACTAATATTAGTGAGCTAACATGACTGTCTTACCTTCTTGATGTATTTTATTTATTATATTTAATAATTATTTTTCTTTCTTTCTTTTTAGTTTTGGAGAAAGAGTCTCACTCAGTAGCCCTGGGTAAAGTGCTGTGGTGTTGCAATCTAAAACTCCTGGGCTTAAGCGATCCTCTTGCCTCAGCCCCATGAGTACCTGGGACTACAGGTGCCCATCACAGTGCCAGGCTAGTTTTTCTACTTTTAGTAGAGATGCAGTCTTGCTTTGCTCAGGCTGGTCTCAAACTCCTAAGCTTAAGTGATCTGCTAGCCTCGGCCTACCAGAGTGCTAGAATTGTAGGCATGAGTCACCGCACCCATCCAGTACTTATTTTTCTTAATTCGCCTTGTGTTTGTCAGGCATTCTTGATACATTTTAAAGTACCTTCCTTTATTCATAGTTTGAATTTTGGAGCCCAACTACCAGAGTCAGAAACATTTCTCTATTACCTATTAGCACTGTAATCCCAGGCAAGTTATTTTAATGTTTATATGCCTCAGTATCCTCATCTGCAAAAATCAGGATGGTATCTACCTCATAGAGTTGTCATAAGGACTTAAAGCGGAAAACTAGCATTGAACAGAGCCTAGTTAAGGTTCCTCTTGCCCTGTTCCCACAGAAAAAGAGGCTCTTATTTGTTTGTCATACACTGTGCACACTTCTGCCACAACATTCACTGAATGGTATTCTGACTATGGGGATCTATGTCAGATTCTTCACTTAAAAACATGTGTTCCTATCACTTGAGCCCAGGAATTCAAGGTTGCAGTAAGGCAGTAAGCTATGGTTGTACCATTGCACTCCAGTTTGGACAACAGATCAAGACGCTTTCTCTACAAAACAAAAATGTGTTTTCCCAGAAGGCAGAGTCACTTAGATATTAGATAGGTCCTATAAAGGTAGAATCTCAGAGTTATGGCAGGCTCAGACTCAAGGTATTCTTCAAACTCCATTTTCTCCTTAAGGATCTATAATAGCCATCTCCAAGCACAAATGCTGGTCCCTTACCATTTGAGACTACAAGACTCAAGACCCAAGCTCCTATAATATTTGTACTGATAACATATAATATTAGTACTATGTATTATTTAATTAGTAACAGTATTAATAACCCATATCTTTGCCTAGAAACTAGATAGCAAACAAGTGAGTACCTACTAAAATAACACATAGCAAACAGAACTTTTGTTTTAGGCCAGGCATGGTGGCTCATGCCTGTAATCCTAGCCTGGGAGAATGAGGCAGGTGGATTGCCTGAGCTCATGGGTTAGAGACCAGCCTGAGCTAGAGCTAGACCCTATCTCTAAAATAGTTAGGCATTGTGGCAGGTGCCTGTAATCTCAGTTACTGGGGAGGCTGATGCAAGATAATTGCTTGAGCCCAGGAATTTGAGGTTGCTAGGAGCTATGATACCACAGCACTCTACCAAGGGCAATATAGTGAGATTATCTCAAAAAAAAAAAAAAAACAAAAACCAGAGTCTTACCCTATAGCCCTAGGTAGAATGCCGGAGTCTCATCCTCGCTCACAGCAACCTCAAACTCTTGGGCTTGAGCAAACCTCTTGCCTTGGTCTCCCAAGTAGCTGGGACTATAGGAACATGCCATTACACTGGATAGTTTTTCTTTTAGTAGAGAAGGAGTCTTGCTCTTGCTCAGGTTGGTCTTGAACTCCTGAGTGCAAATAATCCACCCACCTCAGCATCCCAGAGTTCTGGGATTATAGGCACAAGCCACTGAGCCTTGTTCCCTATAGAGAACACTCCCCTTCCCTACTCTAAGCAAGTGATACTCTTTTTATCTCACCCTGTAGAAAAAATTTTATGCAGATGCTCCAGGACATTAGCCCATAGTAAACTGAAGGGCATAATGACTGTGTATCAATTTCCATCACTGTAGAGTCAGAAGTTGGAGACCATCCATCTATACTTTAATGTCTAAATCAGCGGTTCTCAACCTGTAGGTAGCACCCCTTTGGACTGTATTAAAAGTCGTGGCATTAGGAAGCTTGAGAACCACTGGTCTAAATATATGCAAATAGCAACAGATATGCTTGTTGCCTTTCAACAGCCAGCAAAAGGAAAGTAATTATCACAGAGGGGATACCAATTATATACTCCCCAGGTTCATTTTTACTATCCCATTGAATGTTCAAGAGCAAACTCTATCCAATAAATTGTAAGAAAACACTGAGGGCTCAATGCTGATTCAGCCAACTGGTAAATGATAAAACTAGTTCTGCTGAGACAAAGAACACCCTCATGTCACCAATGGCTTCACTGCTAGACCACTGCTTACAAAAATTTCTCTTAATGTATAGCATTTGTACTGTGATCTTCACTACTTTGCTCTGTAATTGTTGAATTGTATTTCTTCCCAATAAACCAAAACAGGGGAAAAAAAATGAAGAAATCAAAAGCAAATTCCTTAGAGCAAACATGGCTTTGCTAGAGATATAAAGCCCTTGCCTAGCAAACTATATTGTTCTATAAAATAATGCCAGCACTCCATTACATGATGAGAAAAAAAAATTCCTGATAATACAAAAAACCTCCCTCAAACAAATTCCAATTAAAGAAAGGTTAGATTAAAAAATGCTGAGTTGGCTCGGCGCCTATAGCTCAACCCGCTAAGGCGCCAGCCACGTACACCTAAGGTGGCGGGTTCGAATCCCCAGCC